CCTCAGTAGCGTCCCACCTCTGCCCTGCTCCTTCACTAAAATCCCTCACTTGTCCCCATTATGTTCAGAGCAGGGTCCAGTCCTGGTCCCTGGTCACACCCCCAGTGCAGTGGTCCCCCAAATATAGTCTTTAGTGCTGTCGTGAATGTTTCTTCTTGAGCAGGAGCTACGAAGGTGCCCCACCCCGGCAGAAAGGGAGGGAGTGACCCACCTGTAATCCATGCTGACGTTGAAACCTGCCTCCTGAAGCTCGTCCAGGGTCATGAGGGTTGGGGTGGTTTTGCCGGACTCCCATTTTGTCCATTCAAAGATGCCGGGTTCCACTCTTATCTTAATTGTTTTCTCCAGTTTGAGCTCTGGATCCAACGGAATACAAGCGTTTGTAATCCTCAGTGTCCAGATTGGTTTTATGTGAGTCTCTTAAACAATACTTTTTTTAAAAAAATGTGGATTTTTTTTCTTGGCAAATATTGTTCTGGGATTACTTACAGCTGTGCTATTTCTTTTTTTTTTAAGTTTATTTATTTATTTTGAAAGGGAGAGAGAGAGGGGCAGAGAGCGGGAGAGAGAGAACCCCAAGCAGGCTCCGAGCTGTCAGCGCAGAGCATGACTTGGGACTCGAACTTATAAACCATGAGATCATGACCTGAGCTGAAATCGAGAGTTGGACAGTTGGCCAACGGAGCCACCCAGGTGCCCCTGCTATGCTATTTCTAAGACAGAACCCACAGATGGTTGAAAGGCATCTGAGGAGGGGTGACGCCTGTCCATAAGGAAGGGGACAGAGTCTGCCCGGCCTGCAAGATGCCACTATCAGTGAGCTCACCCTGATGGTCCCATATATCTCTACAGCCAGACTAGCACTGGGCCTCATCATTGATCAAGAGTGAGAGCACACCATGTCGACCAACCCAGTGATCCATGGAAAAGACTCGGCCAATCGAGGAGCACACTGGTCACCACTGAGGCGCCATCTTGACAGACACCCAGATTGAGGAGAAGGTGAAGGGTGAAGGGAGCTGTCTCTTGGAACACCCAGACTTCTCCCAGCTACCCTTCTCGAGAATTTCATACCTCGACCAAGAGAACACCTATAGCATAAGGCCATCTCTTTGAGTGGGGGAAAGAGGGCCTGAATGCTTTTATTTGAAATGGAGAAAATGTCATTAAGCTCCAATGCTGGAAATAAATCAGTTCCCCAAATGTATTCCAGGTCCACGGAACAAGTTCCTTTGCCAAAGCACATTTACGAAAGGGAGTTACACGGTCTAACCAGGCTCCTGAGTTCCCTTCAGCCTGTGGAGGGCCCGTGTGTCCAGTGGGAAGAGTTGGAGGTTCCCAAATGGTCTTGGCCACTCCTTCTGCGGAGCCATCTTGCGGCCACTTTGTTCTGTGGGTCACATTTTGGGAAATGGTCCATCTGGACAGTCACTGACATGACAGTGAAACTAAGGGTAGCATGTAAGCCTTTCAGATGTCAGTCTGAAAACAGGTCTGTCCTGTTCCAGGACCTGTGAAGAAGGTTGAGCGCCCTCATTTTCCTGAACGACCCAGAATTTATACACTTGGACTTTAAACAGCATCGTGATAATAAAAAAGGATGTTCTGCATATAGACCAAAAGTCCACGAGACATCGTATTAGAGACATTGACGTTATCATCACCAGAGAACATTTCTGAGAACTTTGTACTTCACTTGTCGAGCCCACCCGTCATTTGCTCCAGCTCTCCACCTGGTCCTCCACATCTGCCCCTGCAGGAAAGCCCCAGGCCCTGTGGTGGCTGGGTCTCCATGTAAAGTCAGTACTCAGTAACCACCCTCTATCTCTCTGATAGACATGTCGTGCCTCCCGTGCACCCCAAGCCTCCAGAAGTCCTTCCCTTTCTCACTTCCAGCTGGTGGCCTGACCCCCACTGTCTCTAAGAAAGTAGAGGCAAGCCCCCTCCCCCACATTAGCACACCTGCTGTGTCTGTGTCCACGTCTTCTGCCCTCTGTCCCATCACTGTGGGGCTTTGGCCTGTGCTCCTGCACTGCTGACTACATCATGTCCACTGCCCCCCGCCCCCTCCCTCCAAGAGGGCAGGGCAGGGCTCCAGCAGCAGACGAAGAACCAAGGCCCCCAGAACAGGCTGCAACTTCTCTGGCAGGAACTTTCTTTTTCCTGCAGGCAGAAGCTGCTAAAGGTGGTCTGGGGGCTTCCTAAGGGACATCAGCCTTCAGTGGTGCTGGACAGCTCCCAGCAGCCACTCCTCTTGCCCTGGCAAGAGTCATGAGCTTGGCCCTCAGAAGGGACCACAGCTGTTCCCAGCTCTGTGGGCTTTTGAAACCCCTCCTCGGATGCTGTTTTGAAAGCCACATGGCAGGGGCACCTGGGGGCTCTGTCAGTTAAGTGTCCAACTTCGGCTCAGGTCATGATCCCACGGTTCGTGGGATCAAACCCCATGTGGGGCTCTCTGCAGTGACAGTGCAGAGCCTGCTTGGGATCCTCTCTCTCTCCTTTTCTCTCTGCCCCTCCTCTGCTCTCTCTCTCTCTCTCTCTCTCTCTCTCTCTTTTTAAACATATGTTAGATACAAGCAGATGCAGGTGGACAGTGTGATGACAGGCTCCTGCCACTTGATTAGAATCCTGGCCTTCCAGAAATGTTGAGGGGCTCAGTGTCTGCTAACAGCTCTCGGAGGACTGGTGCAAAACTGTCTTGCGACTTCTGTGGCCATTCATTGCCACTCATCCGATTCTTACCCCCGTTCCCTTCCCCCCCCCCCCTTTGGAGAATGACCATGAGGTCAGGGCCACCTGCAATGCTCACTGCAGCTCTTACCGACCTTCCAGGATGTGTTTGGCTGTCTGCACACAGCGGAGGGCTGGGGAGGTGAAGACGGAGGTGATTCTGATGCCGCTGTCCAGCAGTGCTTCTCCTGGAAAACAGCAGGTGCAAAAACCCCTCTTCAAAATTGTAACCTCCCATGGGGAGGACTCTGAGGGCTGGCTCGCTACCTGAGGTAGGCAGGATCTTAATGGCCCCGAGATTTCCAGCCCCTGGTGCACCCACCCGTGAGGTCCCCGTGAGTGTGGCTGGAGGCTGTGAATGTGGGAGTGTTGTGTCCTACGGCAGAAGCGAGATAATTGCGGGTAAGCCTGACCCATCCGGGCGAGCCCGTTAAAAGCACAGATTTATCTCTGGCTGTCACAGAAAAAAAGTCAGAGAGTCCAAGGTATGCGGATTCCGCATGCAAGATATTCCCTACTGCAGGCTTCGGAGATGGAGGGGGCCACATGGCAAGGAGCGTGGGAGCTGAGAAAAGAAAGCCCTTTGGTGATGGCCAGCAAGGGAACCAGGACTTCAGTCCTACGACCGCAGGGAACCGAATTCCCCCAACAGTCTTTTGGAGGAAACTGCAACTGCTTCCAAGAGGCTCCGGATGGGAGCTCAGCCCTGCTGACAGTTGGGGTTCAGGCTGTGAGATCCTGAGCAGAGAGGGACAAGCCCAGAGCTCACATTTCCTCTCACAAAATTAGAGGGCCTGGCCCCTGGGAAAGAAGGGGACCTTTTTAGGAAATGCACGGTGCCAAGCTGGCAAGGCTGTAGGGGAGGCTGTCACGGGCTGGATCGTACCCCCCAAATTCATCTGCGGGGGTCCTCATGCTCCGTTCCTCAGAGTGTGACCTTCTTTGGGCACGGTGTCTTTATAATGGCAGTCAGGTTACGATGCAGTCACTGGAGGGGGGGGGGGGCTCCGGTTCAATCTGACCGGCGTCCTTCTCAAAGGGGGGAGTTTGGACACAGCCATGATGGGCACAGAGGGAGGCGAGGAGGCAACGGAGGCGACGTGAAGACCCAGGGAGAAGGCGGCGTCTATAAGCCCAGAGGAGGGGCCTGGAGCAGCCGCCCTCATGGCCTCGGGAGGAACTCAGACGCCTGGCTTCCAGAACCGCAAGAGAACAAACACATTTCTGCTGATAGAGCCACTCCACCTGTGGCACCTCATCAGGGCGTCCCCGGAAATGAGTGCAGAGGTCAAAAACTGCCCGCACGGACACCCCTTCAGAGACCCTGAGCTCCTTCCGGTAACCAGCAGTGTGCAAGCCCACACACCTCCCTCATTTCTTGATTCGGGTCTTTTCATTCATAAAATGAAGACCAGATGAACCCGTTGGCTTTTTTGGCTCCAAAAAGTCAACCGTGTGGGACCAGAACCCAGACATAAAGCATAAGCCCAGACTGACAGATTCTGAAGTAAAATCAGAGAGGATATGTTCTTTAAAAAACAAATTTTTTTAGTGTTCATTGCTTTTTCCTCCCCTCTCTTGTATCTTTCATTCCTTCCGACCCCCCCCCCCCCCCCAACTATCCATCCTGGGTCAAACCCCTCTACCTGCACTTACTAGCTGTGTGGCCTTGTGCAACTTCCTTAACCTCTCTGTGCCTGAGCCGCTTCCTCAGCAGAATGGGGTTAATGCTAACACGGACCTCCGCGGGCATGTAGCAAGGGCTCAGTATGCATTAGTGATCATCATTGCTGTGATTAATGTTACTATTTCTACCAGAATGGTCCCCAAACATACCTGCCATGCGGGACTGGAAAACTCCACACGATGATAGTGGAGGATCATTTTCAAAGTCTTTGATTCCACTGCTCCTTCTGGGCAGACTGTAAGGGAAGTTCAGGTCTGGCCGGTAGTATTTCCCTGAAGCATAAATAGTCACCAGGCGTTCAGGTCCACCGACTTAGTGCAGGTTTGGAACCCCCAAGATCACGACCCACATCGGAAGCAAGGTTATCATTTAAATTGTTGTCATCTGTGTTTTTTCTTTTTTTTTTAAAATTTTTAATGTTTATTTATCTTTGAGAGATAGAGACAGAGACAGAGTACAAGTGGGGGAGAGGTAGAGAGAGGGACACAGAATCCAAAGTAGGCTCCAGGCTCTGAGCTGTCAGCACAGAGCCCGATGCGGGGCTCGAACTCACGAGCTGTGAGATCATGACCTGAGCTGAATTCAGACGCTTCACCGACTGAGCCACCCAGGCTCCCCTCATCTGTGTTTTTTCTTAAAGGTGCTCTGCGATGCGGAGTCAACCGTGACACATCTCTTCAAATGCACAGGACACAGGTGTCAACCCCAGAAACCTGGAGACCCTCTGTGTCCCCTGAGGTCTCCTCAAGAAGATTCACTCATACAATCTTCTTGATTAAGAAAGGAATGTCTCCATTACTGACTGAGCTAAACTTGATAGACATCTCAAGTTGGCATTAATTACGGAAGGGAAATTCTACCCAGCCCTGCAGCTGACAGTGTGTTACATTGTCCCCGGGGACAGAGTGCACGTGGCCAGAATGCTCCTTCAGTCGATTGCTGGAAATCAGGTGGATCCGTGGGGTCTCCCCTCAACCCTCCAACCAGAGGCTGCAAAACGCTTACCCTGACTTTGACCTTGAGCTCTATGATCTGACAATCCCACGTGCAAATCCTGGGACCACCAGTTACTAGTTGTATGATTAGAGTCAACTGACTTACTCTCCCTCATTAGTGAAAGGGAGAAATGATAGAACTGTTACAACGAATCAGTGTGGTAATGCCCGGATCCCAATGCCTGGCTCAGGGGAGGTGGTCGATAAGTGGTAAGCTCAACCTCATATTGAATTATTGATTACCCCTACAGAGGACACTATGCCACACCAGGCCCTCACGTCCTCCCAAGCAACCCCAAACCTTCCAGCTGCTGGTAGTTTCTAGCAGCCCAGCCTCCTTTCCTGAGACCTGCTGCACATCCTGGGGTAGACCCTGTCACTAACCCTGCCCGAGCACACCAGCCCAGCCCTCCACATGGCCTCCTAGCCCTTCACAAACACAAAGAGGCAGCTTGCTACTTTGAATGCCTTGCTTTCATGCATGACTTTCCTGGAAGCTCCCTCCTTGGCATTTCCATTGGCAGAGACTTTGTTTGAAGAAAGGCTTTCATTAAATGCCAAAACATATCTTTTGTTTTCTGGGGAAAGTCGTATTTGTTTTCTTCCCAGAGAAGGTCCCTTGATGGTATTGTTAACCTGTTCCACGTAAGTCTTTTGTCCTCGTTGACGCTTTATCTGTGAGAAGCAGAGAGCGGAGCTCAGAAGAGGATAAGGATTGGAGCAAAGTTAGGGTCTGATGGCGTAGAGCCTCACAGATGGAGGGGGGTCAACTGGCTAGCACCACTGAGAAATGAAGGGCCATATGAGGGCCAGAAGTGAGCAGAAACGAGGAGGAAATCTGGGGTCCGAGGAGAGTCTGGCAGCACCCCCTGAATACCCCATTGTAATTGATTAAACAATGTAATACACAAAGTTTGGACAAATTAGACTGTCAGTATTCACGTTATCAAGGCCTGCTCGGCCTGTGGAAAGAGCCACCAGGAGCCTCCTTCCAGCTGGGACTATCCGGTGTCTTTCCCCTGTAGATGACTCAGTCTTTTGTCAATATTCTTCCTCTTTCCATAATGTCCAATGAACGTCTTTGGCGCTGGTTGTTTTGTGTCGGTTCTCACACCTCCACGGCCACACGCACACTGACGTGGTGTGCGATTTCAATCTGTGGTTTCAATAATTGTTGTATTACAAGGAAGTTTCTTCTCATTGCACGTCTGAATGTCAATTTGTCCTCACAGCCACGTGTCATCCTGTTGTCTCTTTCCTGAGCCTTTGCGTCTGTGATTGATCTTGTTTTATAGAGACAAGCATAGCATCACTTCCGTAGGGTCTTGTAGATATGTTTGGCCATGATGTAATCCGTTCAGAATTTTCCTGGTGCATGCTGGTCATCTGCCAGTGGTTTTCCCTACTCACTTCCCCCTTTTCTTATCCTGCTGGGCTCCCAGAGGAATTCCAAAAGAGCTTAGCTAGACCAGTTACTGTGAATGGATTTTATCACTCTGTTCATTCAGTATCTTCAGTTGTACAATTATTTGTGGCTTAGATGTTGTGGCATGCTGGGATTTCCGTTCAGGGATGTGCATTGGTATAGATGCATATCATTGTGGGTGGGCTGTATTTATAAGCACTGTCCTTCGTTCCTGGTATCCAGTGGGGTGAACTTGGGATAAGCAAGACACAGGTTCAAAATATGTCCATCGGTTGAGTTGCACAGCTAAACATTGCAGGGAAGCGACCACAGCAGCGAAGATTATCTCAGAGAGATAGAGCAATGAGACTGAGATAGGGTTGTGCCAGCAGCTGAGGGTTCAGAGACCGCAGGTCACAGTGACACAGTGTCAACTCAATGCTGTACTCGCTAACCAACTTGCCGTGTGTGCATCCAGAATAAAGACAACTGTCCATGGGTCAAACCAGCTGATTGCTTACTGTTGATAGCCATTCCCCCATCTTCCACAAAGCATTTGAGGTAAGATACTTACAGACAGTGTGCACGCGTAGAATATCTCTGGAGAAAGATATAGCACGTACCCCTCCCACATATACTATCACTCTGAAGAACGGTGCCACAGGGGACCCGGCTCAGGAAACGGAGAAGTGATGTCATTTGTTAGATCTATATACTTTCTGGGGCTAGATCCTGCCAGGATGTTACCTACCATCAGGAGTGGAACACTGCTGCAGCCACGACTTCCCGAAGATTTGATCCACTCTCTCCCCGTGGCGCACCACCAACACACTCTTCCTCGCTATTGTGGCCTGAGATGGTGGAGGAAAGACATGGGCAATTTAACACCCCCATTCTTAGACTTACTCAATGGGCACCTCCCCTCGTCATCCCACAGGTAGCCTAGAAACAGAGTCTCATCCTTCCTTGCTCAGGGACTGTAGCCCATTTCACCAAAGTCATTGCAATGAAAGAAGGTTGGGAATTGAAGGTGGGAATCTCTTTAATTTCTGGCCACTTTCTGTTTCCTGGGCATTATGACATTATAAAGGGAAAGCAAACCCACAGGAATAACCTATGCCATACATCGCACATCAACTTGTCTACCTTTCTGTTTCTTCTAGGTCCTTACCCCATGTCCCTCCAGACTGCTCTCATGGAACACCACAGGCTGGGGGCTATTAGCTACAGATCCTTATTTCCTATAGTTCTGAAGGCTGGAAATCTGAGATCGGGGTGCCTGGTGATCTTCTGGGCTGACTTCTTGCTGGGTCCTCACATGGGGGAAGGGGCAAGGGATCTCTGTGGGGTCTCTTGTATTGTAAGGGTTAAATTGTAGTGTAGGGCTAACCTGTAGCCTTAACAAATAACAGCTTTGTTTTAACACTATAGGTTAAAAGATAACAGCCTTATCCTATCAATCAAGGGAAGGATTAGTGTTTGATTGAATGGGGACAAGGGCCTGTTTGAACTGTTTCCACCTGGGAACTATTCTTTTGTTCTGTTCCCAGGTGATAATAAGATGATGTGGTGGGCTATAAAAACTCTGTACCCCGGCTGTTTGAGACCGCACTCTGGTCAAGAGTGTCGGTCCCGATCGATCGGTTTGCCTTGCCTCTCACTGCAATAAACTTTGTTGTGACTGTCACTGGTGCCCGTAGCATTCTGTTTCAGGAGTCGCGTGGATGCAACGGTATAAGGGCACTAATCCCATCATGAAGGCCCCACCTCCCCTCACCTAATCGAGTCCCAGAGGCCCCGCCTTCTAATGCTAGTACATTGGCAGTTAGGATTTCAACATACAAATTTTGGGGGGACGCAAACATTCAGACAAGAGTATCGCTCCATAGTGACTTCTTAGGACATTATCTATATCTATACATATATATTATCATATAATAGATACTGTGTATTTTCTCTGCATGTAGATACTGCTGTCAGCATCCCTGGGGCCTAGCATACTGGGAGCATGCATGTCAGAGACTAGGACACAAGCTTCAGTTCACAGATTCCCCACCTAGGGACCTTGGATCTCATATGGACCAAGGGAGAAACATAGAAAGATGAGTCATAGAAGAAGATGAGAGGCAGAGGTGGCAAGTCCTACCACAGCAGGAGGGCTGGGGGGGCCTTCAGGTAGGACATGGAACTTGGTCATGCCTGGAGCCAAGGTCACCGGGGATGGTGGGCCAAGGTCACTGGGGATGAATGGGCCAAAGTCACCAGGATGGACTGGCCAAGCTCACCAGGGATGGTCAGAATGAGAAGGGCACTGGGCAGGCAGCTATAGCTGGTGGTCAGCTTGTCTTTGCCCAGTTCCTTTTTCGCAGATGGACCCTTTCCTCCTGCTTCCCATCTTTGGCCTCATAGCAGTTTGAGGCTGGGCTTAGAGGTGAGAAGGAAGGAGCTGATATTGTGTGTTTTTGCTGCAGAGTGGAGTAAGGAAGGGAGGTGGCGAGACATGGCCCTCCTCAGCATGGAGCCCCATCACCAATCCCCAGGCCCGCTCTGATTTCTCCCAAATGCTAGAATGGAAAACGCAGATCCCTTGGACACCCAGCACCCTGGAGAGACGACACATCTGTACCCCAGGCAATGCTACTGGCCGTTCCCTTTCAGATTTGATTCTTCAAACAGAGTGGAGCCTGGAGGGTCTGCACCAGCTGCCTCCTTTCTCAGCACTTCTCTGAGTTTGTCGGCAGGGTCAAGTGGCACCATGTGTTGGGACGTGCTGAGAAGGAGGTGGCGGGCAAACACCACGTGCCTCATGGTGTTCTTGGGGCCAGTACCACGGACAGCTCCTGCCAGACCCTCGTCCCTCGTGAAGTCCACAGCCACGCACAGTCTCCAGCGGCTTAACCCGCTGGCCATTCCCGGCCAGTTTGGCTGCCTTCTGATGTGTGCATGAAATGTGTTGCTTGTGAGCCCGTGGAACATTCCAAGTCTCCATGCACAGGTTCTCAGGGCCTCGGGGCCCATGCTCCAAAGTGGACATATGGTCAAAGCAAAGCCAATATTATGATGGTCTCTTAATACAGGGTGCAGACGTTTGGTTCTGGAGGCAAACACCCACCTTCTCGGGTAGAGCACCAAAGGGAAGTTGGTCTTGTCTTCCACTTGTGAAGTATGGTTGATGCCTATTTCCACCAGGATGCCTTTCCCCAGGAGGATGAACATTAAAATGTCTCATGCCTGCCCCCTGTCTGCAGGCAGATTGAAGGACACACAGGGCTCCCAGCCTCAGTCTGCTTACCGAGTCTCCAAGTACTGTTGATCGCTTTGGGCTGGGGTTTTGAGTTTGGAGCATCTTCTTCCCTGGGTTTTTAAATTTGGAGCATTTGAAATTTGAAATGCAGAGCTTTGCAACAGGCGTATCAAGAAAAAGTGCAGGGTCCATGGGGAGTGGAATGACCTTGCTTTTGGGGTCCAGGGGATACCAGGGCCGTGTCGCCTCTTTAGACACGAGGTCCCCGGGTGGAGGTTAAGTGTTGCTGCTGTAACAACGCATCACCGCCTGGAGGCTGAGAGCAAAAGACATGTGTTCCTTCAGAGTCTGGAGGCTAGAATTCCGAAGTCACCGTATCAGCAGAGCCGTGCTCCCTCTGAGGCTCTAGGGGGTGATCCTTCCTGGCTTTCTCAGCTCCGGGGCCCCAGCAATCCCTGGATTTGGCTGAGACACTTCAGTCTCTGTCCCGATACTCAACACAGCCTCCTCCTCTGTGTATCTGCGTGCTCTTTTCTTCCCTGTGGGTCAGATCCCCTGTTTCTCCCCCTCCTAGTGGCTGCTGTGATTAGATTTAGGCCCCCCCAGGACACTCCCCATCAAGACCCTTAGCTCAGCCCCATACGCAAAGACGCTTCCTCCTTATAAGAGACCATTTGCAGGTTCCAGGGATTAGCTCCCCATATCTTTGGGGCCATTCTTCAGTCTACTGACGTCCACTCACCAAAGCTGATGCCACTGTATTCTCTCCTTACCATGTGGAGGGGGGACCTCAGACCAGGTGAGGAGCATTCGGCTCGCAGGGAGACGTCTGTCGGGCTTTTGCCCATTTAGAGCCGCGGCAAGTTCAGACACAGGCCAATCTGTGGGCCGACCCTCCCGTTCCAGCTTCTCCCGCCCTCCATCTGGAAAGGGGGGCACGGCCTCAGGGAGCCCCACCCCAGTCCATGCCCTCTCTCCTGCAGCCTACCAAGGGGGGCAAGTCCCGCCTCCGCTGTGCCTTCCAGAGTCTGGGCAGTCTGGGTAAAGGAGCCCTGGTTTTGTCTGTCTCTGGCTCCCAGCCAGTGGCCGCTCTGCTTGGGGCCGCTCTGGAACTGGAGATCCATCTACAGGGGACGATCTGTGGCCTCCCCAGTGCCCAGCGTCCTGTGCTCAGCTCTCATCTGGACCAAGCCCACCTCAGCCTGGAGGCAGCCTCTGAGGGGCTGGTGGCTTCTTGGGGAAGGAGGGCGAGTTTGGATTTAGGGTGATTCGATCAAGAGTCCCGATGAGGGTCTTCATTTGGTCATTCGGTGATTCATCCAATGAGACTTACAAACCAGGCCCTGAGCCAGGTGCTGAGGACACAGGGACAAGCCAGACAGCACAGGCCGGCTCTCTGCGCAGGAACAGACTCTCAGCACTGAGGGCCTGGCCTGCGGTGGGCACCTTGTTTCCCGTAATCCTCCAAAACAACCAAGTTCAGGGGCGCTTATGTGCCTGAGTGGCCCCCGCAAGCTTCCTCCCCTCCATAAGTCTCAGTCTTCCCATCTGTAAAATGAGGGCTGACATATCCCATGCTGGCTGGAGGTGGCCGGGATGAAGTCCTCGCGCAGTGTGGGGGCACAGGTGGTGGGGCGTGGAGGAACCACTTTGGAGACTCCTCGGGTCAGAGAGGCATCCCCACTGAAGTGGGAAGTGGTCAAGGGCTGGTTGCACGTGCTGGCCTGCCCCCTGGGGCTTCCTGGGAAAGGAACCAGAGGGCCAGCCTGCCCACCGCCCTGACGGCGTCGGGGACACCATGTCACTTGTGTGCTTTGGAGGAGGGGCTGCCTGCTCCGAGGAGGTCCTGCGGGCAGCCTTCACCCATGCACGTACGCCTTGCGGGTGGCAGGGCCTCTGTGCCCTTGCTGTGCCCCAACGCCTGGCCCTGCGGCCTCTGGCCCTCACGATTACCGAGCACCAGCATCCTCTCTCCCAGTGCAGACTTGGAAGCTCAGAACCTCCAACTTTTGGGGCTCTGGGGGAGGTGGCTTCTTCAGGGCCACACAACTTGCTGATGAGATCATTGGTATTAGAGTCCAGGATTCTGGGTAGGGCTGTGTCCCTGTGTTTTCCCTGCCTTATGTCCTGGCATCATTACTGACAGAATGACAGACACATGCTTTGTGTTCTTGCAATGCCCAGCAGGCTGCCGTGAGGGGCCTGCAGCCCGGCTCACAGCTATGGGACGTCCATCCCTCTGCCCCCTGGGGTCTGTAGCCGTACCCGAGGGCCTGAGTCTCCCAGGGAGTTGACATAAAGTGTGGTTTCCCTTCGTTCACCTTGTAAAGCAGGGAATTCTGTCACCTGTAAAGCCTGGATGCTGCTAACGTCCCTCGGCGTCTGTGGACGGTGCGGTTCTCCGTTTCGCCTGCTGCTGGCTTCCCCGTCCTTTCTGGAGACCAGGTCCATGGCCAGGCTGAAGGTGTACGTCCTGTGGAGGAAGAAACGAGGGTGCTCTTGTCATGAAGGCATTGGGAAGCGACCTGCCCGCATCTGGTCACGCGTGTGTGTGGGAATGCTCACGACAAGATGGGCAGGTAAGGTCATTGTCGAGGACACAACACAATGGTGTGTTCAAGGAGCTCAGTGCTCAGCACATAACAAATCCCGAGTAAATCCTGGTTGTCCGTCATCACTGTCGCCACCGGTTATGGGCTGTGCCGTGTCTCCTTGACATTTGGAGTCCTGACCCCCAGTACCTCAGAGCGTGACTTTATTGGAAACGGGGTCTTTATAGAGGTAATTATGGTAAAATGTGGTCAGCAGTGTGGCCCGATTCTATATTATAAGAAGAGACCAGGAGGTACAGAGAAACACACGGATGCTGGCACAGAGGAAAGACCATGAAGAAGCACCAGGAAGGTGGCCGTCTACACGCCAAAGAGAGGGGCCTCTGGAGGAACCAGGCCTGCCGACACCCTGATCCTGGACTTGCAGCCTGTGACCCTGACAGAATAGATGCGGGTGGTTTCCGCCCCCGGGTCTGTTGTGCGGTAGGGTGGTCCAGGCAACCCAGTACCACGTCCTCGTAGATTCACCTTCTGAAATAGCCAACGGTGGGAAGATAGGTGTGGCTGGGATATAAGAATGAATAAGCAGTGAAGAGACACATTAAGATCTAGGGAAACACGGAGGAAAGGGGTGGGACGCAGGGAAGAAATCGCTACCTGTCCGACCAACCAAGAGAGATGCTGTGAGGTGGGCACGCCTCCAGGTGGCCTGGGAAGGACGGAGGGGAAAAGTCACAGCTAAATAGAGTGGTGTGAGCTCCTCAACATGAGAGGGGCCATGCAGGTGCCCCAAGTGAGTGTGTCTGGAAGGAACAGGGAGAGCGGCCAGAGGAGGACAGAGAAGGGCATCTACCTGCTCCACGAGCAAGAAACTGGCCAAGTTCCCTACGGGAAAGAAATTCATTTTATCAAAGGAGAAATCATGTTTATAAATTCTATGTTGAAATAGTCTACAGTCGGGGCACCTGGGTGGCTTAGTCAGTTGAGCCTCTGACTTGATTTCGGCTCGGGTCACGATCTCATGGTTTGTGAGCTCAAGCCCTGTGTCGGGCTCTGTGCTGACAGCGTGGAGTCTGCATGGGATTCTGTCTCTCTCTTTCTCTCTTTGCCCCTCCTGTGTGCATGCTCTCTCTCTCTCAAAATAAAAGTAACAAACTTAAAAAAATATATAAAAATAATCTATAGTCAACAACCAAATAACCCAACTAAAAATAGGCAGAAGACACGAACAGACATGTCTCCAAAGAAGACGTTCAGGCGGCCAACAGACACATGAGAAGATGCTCATCATCACTCATCATCAGGCAAATGCAAATCAAAACCACAGTGGGCTATCACCTCACACCTGTCAGACTGGCTAAAATTAACAACCCAAGAAACAGCAGGTGTTGGCGAGGATGTGGAGAAAGGGGAGCCCTCGTGCACCGTTGGTGGGAATGCAAACTGGTGCAGCCGCTCTGGAAAACAGTACGGAAGTTCTTCGGAAGGTTAAAAATAGAATTACCCATCGATCCAGTAATTGTGCTACTGGGTATTTACCCCCCAAACACAAAACACGTATTCAAAGGGATATGTGCACCCCTATGTTTATAGCAGCATTATCTGCAGTAGCCAAATTACGGAGAGAGCCCAAGTGTCCACCAGCTGATGAATGGATAAAGAAGATGTGGTATATAGATACAATGGAGTATTACTCAGCCATCAAAAAGAATGAAATCTTGCCATTTGCAACAGCGTGGATGGAGCTGGAGGGTATCATGCTGAGTGAAATCAATCAGTCAGAGAAAGCCAAATATCGTATGACCTCACTCATGTGGAATTTGGGAAACGAAACAAGTGAGCAAAGGGGGGAAAAAGAGAGAGAGAGAGAGAGACAAATCAAGAAACAGACTCAACTGCAGAGAGCAAACTGATGGTCACTAGAGGGGAGGTGGGTGGGGGATGGGTTAATAGGTGATGGGGATCAAAGAGTATACTTATGAAATTAATTAATTAATTTAATTAAAAAAACCTACAATCTGAGTGCAGAAGAGGAGCAGTAGCTAGAAAGGGAAACAAGAAAAAAGGGCTTGTGCTTGAGTTTGTTTTTAAGGATAGCGGCGTGTTTGTTTGCTGGCGGGAATGATGGGGGGAGAGTCTTGGGAAGGGCAGATGCTGGAGCGGAGCCCTCGGAGGGCGTGGGATGCCTGGGGGCACGGGGTATGGGGCGCCGTGGGCCCCTGGGCAAGAGTTCCAAAAGCCCGGTGTGGTCTGATGGGGGAGAAGGGCACGTGGGCCCAGGCTGCAGGTGGGCGGGTGGCCTGGTGGCCAGAGCTGGTGGCCTCTCTTCTGACTGTTCACCTGTCACTGTGGCCAAGAGTGAAGAATACGGTAGGTGACCTCTTGGTGAAATGAAAACGTCAGGAACGAATCATCCGGAGGGCGGACACCCGGGTCGCAGCCGGTGTGGTCACGGAGGGAGAGAAGGGGAGGTGATGTGCTCACGGGGATGACCGATCAGGGCTCATCGTCCTCATTCCTGTGCTCCAAAGAGCATTGCTCTCCTCCTGACCTTCCGACTGTAGTGTACTTCATTGTTCTTAACACCCCAAACCCTTAAATTCTAAGCCTTTAACAGTCAGTGTTAAAGACCTATCTGCTAGGTCTCTGATTAAGACTCCTTCTGGGGGCGCCTGGGTGGCTCCATCAGTAAAGCGTCAGACTGATCTCGCTGTTCGTGAGTTCGAGCCCCGCATCGGGCTCTGTGCTGCCAGCTCAGAGCCTGGAGCCTGCTTCGGATTCTGGGTCTCCCTCTCTCTCTGCCCCTCCCCTGCTCGTGCTCTCTCAAAAATAAACACACAGAAAAGACTCCTTCCACTACTTGTATGCTTTCAAAGCTCCCCTCAGTGTAGAAATCAGAAATACATTCATTTAAAGTGCATTCTACCTGACATGATTTTCTGCTTCCGTTCAATTCTCATCTTTGTCGGGAATGGAGTTCTGTGTATGAGGTGAGGCCACATAAAATACTGTTCGTTTTATGCCCGTTTCTTCCTCTGCTTCTGATGTGTCGAGCAGGTTGTAAACTTCCTGACGGGCCAGGTTCCCTGCTCTGGTATCTGTTTTGTGCCACTGATCTGTTTTTCTCTTTCCCTCAATCCAGGACTATATCGTCGGTTTATAATAGGTTTTTAACATCCTAGAGTAACTATCTCTTCTCATTGTTTTTATTTTTCAAAGTTTTCTCAGCTCTTCTCCTGTACATTCTTCCAGATAAACTTTTCAACCATTCGGTAGAGTTCCAGCAAATGATTCCGTTGGGATCTTTTCCTGCAATTTCATTAAACCTGGAAGTGAATCCGAGAGGAATCGATACATTCACGATTCTTCTTCCTCAGTCATGAACGTGGTGTGTTTGTACTTCCTCGGCCCGTGTGTGAACATCTGTATTTCTCCCATACAGACGTCATGTCCCCGATTCACCCGCAGTCACCGCTAGCCCCCACAAGTTCATGCTGAGACCTGACCAGGGCCAGATTCTGGGGCTCCCCGGGAGCATGCCCCCTGCACCCCAGGCTCTGGCCACTGGCCTCCCACAGACACCGCCTTGTGCCCTGGACCATTCGTGCCTGCGTGGCGTTTTGATTTGGCGAGTGCACTTCTCAAAATGTCTGCAAGTTGTACCTTCTATTTTCGGGTTGTTGCCCTGCCTTGTGCTGGAAACTCCCACTGGCGGGATCCAGGTCACATGGATTTCTTCTGCTCATGTATTGTCACAGTGTCGGTGGCCAGCTCCTGAGAGGTGCGGGCTTTCGTTGGCCATAAGTGGACCAAGAACACTGGAATCCACGTCCAGACCGCTGACATTCTCCCCTCCTCCCGTAGCAGAGGCCCCATTCACAGTCTCCCACTGACAAAGGAAACGCCGTGGGTTTCCTCTTCCGGGGCGGGGGTGGGGGGGGGAGGGAATGGCACATCCTGCTAGTGTTCTACCTCACAGACAGCGAAGCCTCCTTATCTATAAATAACATCTGTGAAGTCTACAGTCGGAGAGAAAACCAAATTGTTTTTTGCCTGTCTGTCAAACCAAGTTTTTTTTCAGAGTAGCCTTCACACCCAGGGCAGAGCCCAACGTGGGACTTGAACTCACGACCCTGAGTTCAAGACTTGAGCTGAGGTCAAGAGTCAGACGCTTAACCGACTGAGCCACCCGGGCCCCCCAACAACGGAAATATAATCAAGATTACAATGAGAGGAGAAAGGAAATAACTGAACATTTAAATAGTTTGGATTTTCTCTTGAACTTAAGAGAACTACTTAATGGCCAACTTACACCATGAAAATAGATGGGTTTAAATTCGCCGTGGCTTTTAAAAAGGGCGTAACTGCAGTCTGTGGGGTTGTGTGGACCACATCCTCATAGTAGATTCCTGGGGCAGCTATAACAAGGCGCCACAGACCAGGTGGCTGCAACCACAGACATTTACTGTCTCAGGGCTGGAGTTCAAGGTCCAAGATCCAGGTGTGGGCGGGGCTGGCTCTTCCTGAGGCCTTTGTCTTGGAGGTGTGGATGCTGTCCTCACCGTGTCCTCATACAGTCGTTCCTCTGCATGTGTCTGTGTCTTCATCTCCTCTTCTCACAGGGGCACTGGTCAGATTGGGTCAGGACAACCTTAGGGACCTCATTCTACCCTAATCACCTCTGTGAAGATCCCGTCTCTATAGTCACGTTCTGGGGTGCTGGGGGCCAGGACTTCCACATAGAAATTTGGGGCAGACGATTCAACCCATGACAGTGCCTTTGTTACGTCTGAGATATTTGCCACCGACTCGCTCTGTGGCTTTGGAAATTACTGGACAGGTGTGGCTTTAGTTTTGAAAATCTTCTCACCCTGCCCAGAGGACAAACTGTTCTCTGAGCTCTAACCTTCAAAACCTCTCTGCTGTTTGTTCTAGATTATGCTATATCCATTCTTCTACGTAGAGCATTGAAAGCCACTCTGAACCGGGAAGACATTCCCTCATCGTATCATGCTGGTCCCCTCTGATCTCCTTCTTCAAGGCCGTGGACAGATTTTTGGGGGGCGATTTTGTTGCCCAGTGAATCCAAAGACACCTGGGACCATTTCGAAAAGGCTGGCATTGTATTGATGATGGGTGACTGATGTTTCAATTGCCAAGCAATGAACACACCTAGATGTGCATAGGTAGAACATACCTATGCAACCTCATACCGAGAAGGGTGTCTCCTCTGGCAGGTAGGGGCTGCTCCCGGTGCACGTGCACATCTGTCCTCGGGCACCGTAAGGCCAGTGGTTGCACATGCCAAGTGGGAGTCCTGAAAGCTCTCAGAGGGGATGGGGGTGCTTCCAAAACATGGCCAGTCAGACACCCCATCGCCGAGCCTACTACGACTTATTTTTCTTTTTGTTTCGATTGTTCTTAGTATTTATTAATTCATAAGGGAAACGTGTCTTTAGGAAGAATAGTCCCAGAAGTGTCAGGGTAAAGTCCAGAATGGTTACATTGGCCACAGGTGGCTGGAGGATTAATTGTGAAGCAAAAAATGTAGGAGCCCAAAACTCATCTTCTACAGAGTCTTCGCCATGTAGTTCTAGAAATATCTCGGTTTGCCAACTTCCTGGTGGCAGTGAAGCTCTCACATCCTGAGCAGGGAGTGAAGGACCTGCCTCACCCTTCCTGGAACTGTGACGGTCAGTTAGGGTATAACCGGTATCTCCTGATTTCTTAAACAGTTCATTGGACTGGATGGTGGATGGAGTTGGTTCTCAAGGGAAACAATTGCTTCCTTAATTGTGTGACATCATCCAGCCTCCCCACCTCCCTGGGCCAGAGTGTCCACGACTCTCCAGGACAGGAGGCCCTATTGGATTATCTCTGCAGTCCCTTGTGGGACCAATGGCCTATGCCTTTGTGGTAGCCCACAGGGCCCATGACCGTGTCTGCCCTCGCACGGTGGTGTTTCTCGCAGACAACTGGTCTACCGCATCTTGGTTGGCCGTGACCATTCTGTGGAAGCTGTGTCCCTTTTGCATCAGGTGTGGGAAGGGATCTCACAGCATGCATGCTGGCTGCAACCTAGCCCTGGATTTGTCTGACTTCTCCCCCTTTATTGTCTCTTTGACCCCATGTCCTTATATTCTTTTCTTCAAATTTAAAATGGATGAATTTATATTTTGAATAAGTAATGCATATATATATATATATATATATATGGTTCAAATACTTACAAATCATGGATGGTAGAGAGTGAAGTCCCTTCCCCAAGTCCTTTTCTCTTCCCCAGCCCCTTTCCCAACTCCCAGGGGACCACTGTGGGAAGTTTCTAGAGATTCTCTTTTCTGGGCAGTGTTTAGGCACAGGCATGCATATAAATCCATATTGAGCACATATATGTACAGACAATGGTTTTTTACTTTACCCTTCCCCACATATAGCTCTGTAATATACACTGCGTTCTGCAACCTATCTTGGATTTTTTTCATATCAGCACGTAAAATACTTTCTTGTGACCCTTTTTAAAGACTGCAAGTGTTGTGTTATACGGATATATCCTAATTTATTTCACTAATACATTGTTTCATGATTTAACGGTCTCTTTTAGGGGAAGTTTAGGTCGTGGTGGGAAGTATACACACACCTTTTCCTGGCTATCCAACCAAACACTAAGCTGGGTGCTGCTGTGCAGAGATTTTGCAGATGCTATTAAAGTCCCGGTTGGCAGACTTTAAATTAATGAAAAGGGAGATTATCCTGGGTGGGGGGGAGGGGAGCCTGACTTCTTTCATTGGAAGGTCTTTAAAAAAGGCTCAGGGCTTCCTTGAGCTCAGTGATTCCAAATAGCAGCTGTGCCTGCAACCATTCTCCCAACTGCCTGGGAGTTTCCTCCCCGATTGTCAGAGGCAGACAAGTGCTTCCATGAGTCATGGCTTCCAACGTTTGTGGTCCCCTCCCTCCCTTCTTGCCTGCCTGTCCTTGCTTAGCTAGCCCCAACAGTCACACACGGCAATTCCTTAAATGTGTGTGTATGTGTGTGGTGTGTAACATGGCCATACATTATAATATAAATAATATGATGTAAATAGAAATTATTACATTATTAATAAATAACTTTTTGTATATTAAATACGAAATGTTCTATATTTTATAAGTGCATTTCTGTTGTATGTGTGGATATGTATATAAATTACTGCTTCTCTGGCTAAACCTTAACTGCTCCTCAACTTGGTATTAAGCGTGGGGTGCTGCTGTGACAAATACCTAAAATACGGGAGCAGCTCTGGGACTGAGCCGTGGGTGGAGGTGGGGAGAATTTTGAGAGACACGCTAAAAAAATTACTTTGGACAGACTCTTCGTGGTCTTATGGGTGCTGGTGAGAGTCACACGTTCCAGGAAACTGGAGGAAGGGGGATCCCTACCATGTAGTGGCAGCAAGTTGAGTGAAATTGGTTGCATTGCTAAGAATATTTCCAAGCACCGGTTTCCTTTTGTTGCTCACAGTAACACATGTGAGGAAAGAGATTAATGGAGGGAAGTAAATGGGACAAAAAGAACAGGTACCTAATGACTCTGAGCAACCCCAGCCTCTCCAGACGAGGCTAAAAGTGCTAAAATGAAGAGATTCTCCAGCTGAACGCAAAGAAGCCACCAGGAGCCCCACGGCTTCTGGGAGATGCGTTCTGCCAACACCACGTGAGCTTGGGGGAGGACCCTGGGCTTCAGGTAAATCCCCAGCCCCGGCCGAAACCTGAATGTGGCCTTGAGAGACCCTGAGCTAAGCCGTGCCCGGACGCCTGCTGCAGGAAAAGTATGAGGTAATAAACGTGTGTTGCTTTAGCTGGGGAGTTCACGGTCATCTGCTACAGAGCAGTAGAAAACTAGTAATGGACCTTCGGACTTGACAATTGACACGCTGAGCTGAAGGCTAGGTAAAGCCAAGCTCAGGCTCTCTGATATAATCTGTCAGGTCCATAACACGGAAGTTTTTACAGTCGTTTAGGGATTACGATCTCAGAAGCCACATAGAGCAATTCATGCTTTCTGAGCATTATTTGCAGAAAACCATGGATTGGCCAAGATATTTACCGTATACCTGCAGGGATAATGTCACCAGCATGGAGAAGGCAATTTTCTTTCCAGTGATGGAATGGTCTACAAGCACGCGGCAACCACTGTTTTCCGAGGGACGTTCTTGGATGCTAATCAGAGAGAAGACGTTTGGGCTGCCGCTAGAGGCAGCACTCACCTGTGCTTGACCCAAGTGTCAGACTCATTGGCTTGCTCCGTGTAGTTCTCGGGCAGGAAGCCCCGGCAGCCGGTCCGCTGGGAGGTCCCAATCACCCAGCCCTCGCTGGTTTCCTCCTGCTGGGTGGGGTCCACGAAGATGTAGTCGCCTGGACTTAGTGTCAGCTCGTCCTCGTTCTGGGGTTTGTACTGAAATAGGGCCCTGAGGGTCTGGAAAAGACGCGAGCGTTTTCATGTCTCAAGCATGGACTTGGGCTGGGAAGGATGGCAGCGTGAGAGCGATGACATCTGCCCTTTGCCCCCAGGCTCCCCGGTTGTGCTCTACGACTCCAGGGCCTGTCCAGGCTTGTGTCGGGTGACAGATAGTAGCCGATGACAGACTATGGCACAGAATTCTTTGGATAGGTTTGGAAATGAATTCTGGTATTTACCTATCATCTATCTATCATCTGTCTATGTATCTATCTATGTATCTATGTATCTATCCATCCATCCATCCATTTATCTTATCTATCTGATCTTTCTACGTATGTATCCATATCTACCTATCTCTCTAACCTACTTATTTATTCGTATCTATTGTCTATCTATCTATCTATCTATCTATCTATCTATCTATCTATCATTTATCGTATCTACCTGTCTAACCTATCATCTATCTATCCACATCTATCAATTATCTATTCATCTATCCATCTACCTATGTCTATCATCTCTTATTACTACTTATTTCTAACATGAAAGCTCTTAGAGCAGAATTAGACATTCACATCCACCTCCCTTGGCGTAAGGTGATTTATAGCCTTTCATACAACACGGAACACGGTGGATTCATCCATGCTACTTCCACGGGTCTGAAAGGAGCACTGCAGGCTTTCCATCTAAACCATCCATCTCGGGGGAGCAAGTCTTGCGTGAGGTTTCACTGAAATCGTCATTTAAGCAAATTAATAAGCAACACCATGTACTCATAAATTTTTGCAATAGTCCACTTTTTATTGCCAGAAATGGTACTGGTGGTTTTTTTCCAAACTTTTTTGTGTCTGCCAGTCATACGTAAAAGAATACTAGTTCTAAATTTGCGCAGAAATAGGAATGATTTTAAAAAAAATAGTGGAAGGGCTTCCTTTCCCTGAAATACCTCCAGAGGAGGAGGGCTCCTGGGGGTAAGTGCTCTATCTACCGGTGGGCCGCCATTGGCTCCCCTGGGGAGTGTCCAGTTCAACCGCCTGGCCAGGGCCACTCTGGCCAGGGCCACTCCGGCCGAGGCTCCCGGCCTGGGTTCGCTCACCTGGTAGTGCACGAAGCGCATGTCCCGGGAGTACAGCACGGCGGTCCACTGGCAGCTGTGGCCTGGGTGGATGGCTCTGGCCAGCTGCTCCAGCGTCCTCTGGTGGTGGGGGTAGAACTTGTGGGCCAGGGTCAGGTGCAGCTGCTTGGCGCAGGGCTTCACGGTGCAGTCTGCGAAACCAGGTCAACACGAGGATGGTGGGCGCTTTTACCCCCACCGTGGGCGCTGCGTGTGTGGGGTGGCTATGCATCCACGACGGCTACGTGCCCAGGGCTGGTATGCGAAGCCTGTCTGCCTGGTGCCTCCTGCCTCTGCCCCCTCCTTCCCCCCAGATTGTGCCATTTCACAGAGTTCAACTTAAAAAATTTTGTAACGTCTATTCATTTTTGAGAGAGAGAGAGAGAGAGAGAGCAAGCGAGCATGAGCGGGGGAGGGGCAGAGAGAGAGAGGCAGACACAGAATCCGAAGCAGGCTCCAGGCTCCGAGCTGTGAGCACAGAGACCGACGCGGGGCTCGAACTCACGAACCGCGAGATCGTGACCTGAGCTGAAGTCGGACGCTCAACCGACTGAGCCCCCCAGGCACCCCCCAGAGTTCAGCTTATAGAGGACATAGCTGGCTACTGCAAATCCTATAAGGAGGAGGAAGGAGGAGGGGTGGAGATACGGGTCTGGGTGTTTGGAGCCTATCAGTTTGCAAGCCAGTGGCCCGAACCTCTGATTAAAGTGGATGTAGTCACAACTTCTCCGTTCATTTTCCGGGGCGCACACACTACCCAGCTGCCTGGACTCGTAGCCTTGAACTCTGGGCCGATGGTTTTGGTTCTGCTGCAGAGTCTCGGGAAGAAAATGCCACGGGGAACCCAACTGTGTCAAACATGACGGCATCTCTCACATTTCGCTCACTTTGGCGAGGCAGGGAGCCCTTGGAATGGTCGGTCCCTGGTGTCTTTGGGAGGCCTTTGCCCTGGTGGATCCTGCCCTCCTGGTCCTCATTCCAGGGCCCTGAGGTCAGCCAGGATCTGACGGCCTCTGGGTCACAAAGTAGTTTGTGTTTGGGGGAGGCGGTGACCGACGGGAACGCGGACTTTGGCGTCACGTAGGCCTGGCTTTAGAGCCACCCTCCTCTCCTGGTGGGGCGACCTTGGGAAGAGCTTGCGTTTGCACAGCAGCGGTTTGAGGACAGTGAGGGCCACCTGCTGGGGCGGCACTGAAACCCGTCTCTTGATTCACATCTCCAGGAGTCTTTTCGTAACTACTGGTTACCGGCCACCTCTCCCCCAGGCAACACATAACAACAGACAGGCCCCGTTCTCCCCTGGAACATGGCCCGGATGTTGCACTTGCTTCCTGGGCCCAGACCTGGTGGCCCAGTGATGTCTCCCATCCGCTACATGAGACTTCAGCGGCAAACAAGAAACCGCCGAAGCGAGAGGCATAAATTGAGAGCACATGTGGGTGGCGGGGAAATTCTTTTCTTGGGTGCTTCGGCCGTGGGCGGAGGACCACCTGGCCACGTGAGTCAGTGTGGCCCGGGAAAGATCCATGCCGGTTGTCATCCGTGAACCACACGTGGCTTCTGCGTGGGCCCTTGTCTTGTCTGCTCTTCCCAGCCCCTGCCTCTGGGGGCGTGTCTCTGGGGACAGACACAGATGCCCTGATGGGGACGCACTGAAGCTGGCCGGCCCCTCCCAGCCCTTTGGGGTCAGGTCAGGGCACAGGCGTGGAGGGCAGGGCGAGAGCCGTGGGGTCGGAGCCTCCCTGGCGGAGCCCAGGGCCGGTCAGCCTGAACCCAGGTGGGGCCGAGCAAGACCGAGCTGGACTGAGGTTCTTGCTCCGACCCCCGCTTAGGGGACCCTGTTGCTTTCCGAGGGCTGTGGTCACAAATGGCCACAAACTGGGGAGCTTAAAACCACACAAAGGTGCTCTCTCGCAGTCTGGAGGCCAGAAGTCTGTAGGCGTCCGCAGGGCTGCGCCCCCTCTGAAGGCTCTGGGGAGGCCCCTCCCTGCTGCACCCAGCTCCTGGGGCTCCGGGTGGTCCCTGGCGTGTGGCCGCATCCTTGCGTCCCTGTGTCCTCCCCATGGCCTCCACCCCTGTGTCTCTGTGTTCTCTCCTCTCTCGTAAGACCACCAGTCGCTGAATTTAGACCCCACCCTCCAGTCTGGCTTCCAGTCTGGCTTCATTTTAACTAATTGTGTCTGCAGAGCCCCTGTTTCCAAATAAAGCCTGTTTCTAAGGTTCAGGTGGACAGGAATTTCAGGGGACACGATTCCCCTGCGCCAATGACCTTGGACAGGAATATTCCCCTTCGCCAGCTTGGTCTCTTCATTTTTAAAATGGGGCCAGTGAGACCCAACTGGGGGATGCAGTGCGTAAGGGAGGTGCCCTGTGTGCCTTGAGGCGAGGGGCTGACGGGGCAGGGCAGGACGAGACCACCTTGTCCTTTTGGCCACAAGGAGACTAAAGAGCCATCACCTGACTCTTGTTTCTATAAAGGACGCCAATCCACAGAGCCACGGGGTAAGCTGCTAATCGTCCAGCAAATAGGACCCCGGAGCCCAGAGGCCAGCCTCCAAGTGGAAATCCGGGATTCAGTGACCTCCTGGCGTGGCCAGATCAGAAGGGGCCTCGACACCTGCGGAGGGGTAGGGCGGCGTCTCTCCACCAGGGTGCCGGGAGTCACCACAACACTGCACTTCTTCTGTGTGCCAGGACCGAGGGGGAAACTCCACAGAAACAGGCTGCGTTGTTTGAAGGGCCAGAGTCCTCACCGATTTGCAGAGAAAGAGCGACTTCTGGGGCTGATGTGACTTGATGAAGGCCCAGCGCTAACCAGAGACGAGGGAGAGACGCTCGTCTTCTGAGGTCAAGTCCAGAGTCCCTCCCGTGAACCCCAGCCGGATCCTGTCTCCAGACCAGCGCAGAGGTTGGGGAAAAAGGGAGGCTCAAAGATTCTCAAAGTGAATCTCGACGATCCTTCCCCGAGAGGCCATGGAGAAAAGACTATGGTCTTCCCTAAAACATCAACAAAAACCAACTAGGACTTGTGTTTTACACACAGCACCGACCCCGGGAGGGCATCTGCCCAAGGCGGGCATGGGGCTGGGGAGCCTCGGATGTCCCCGTGTGGGAACCAGCCTGTAATCCACCGTCATCACGTGACCACTCGAGGTCTCCTCCTGGGACAGGTTTCCAGGCAGCTGGAGCGCACCCAGTGTTCTGAAAACCCGTATCGATGCAGACAAAGGTATTCCCACTTGGAGAAAAGGTGGCCTCTGCTTTCAGACTCTGCTTTCCTTCTGAAGGACATCCTGGCTCATTAGATTTAGCTCCGGCTAAGCTGTACAGCCCCAGAGCAAGGCCACGTTGGAGGAGCTGGCTGAAAAGGGAGAGGTGGCGATGGAAACGTCCTGGGCCGGGGCGTCTGCGTCCCCTGAGCCCAGCCCAGCCGGTGGCAGCAAGGAGCAGCCCGCAGCCCGCAGCCCGCTCCCCCTGCGGCTGGCCCAAGGCGCCTGAGGAGCAGAGCACGGCCCCGGACACAGAGCAGTCAGTCCCCGGCAACCGCGCCCTTCGTGTGCAACTGGCCAGGGCTGCCTACCTGCCAAGACAGCCACCTCCATGGCGAACGTCGTGGCGAATTCTCGGATGACGTCCGCAGGGCTGTCGTTCACGAAGAAGCCCAGGTAGCTGATGGAAGAATGGAGAGCCAGAGGGACGACCAAGGGGAAGGAACCCCGGATCCTGTCCCCGGCTCTCTTTAGAGCCTCGTACAGACACTCCACTTTGTGGTCCTCGCACTAAGGGAGAAGAGACAAGGATGTGCTTTCTCGCCTCTCGTCAGAAGGGCAGCTATTAGCTTAGTTGATTCGGATCAGGCAGCCCCGTGAGCCTATTTGTGGCCACAGTGCTGGAACATGATTCTCTCGCCCCCGCGTCTGGGGCTATGGATTTGTTCTGCACCCTGCCTCGGTTTCTTAGAGATTCCAGGTAAGATTCCTTTTGGAATGGAATGTCCTCTAAGGGTCCAGGTCGGAAACGCCTGTCACCCTGACTTACCTCTCGTCCCTCTGTGTCATGTTGACTCAACCCACAGCTGTGCTCAGCTGTTCAGACTTCTGGAGGCTTCTCTTAGACTCAGAGGCAGCCACGGTGCATGCACGGCTCCGGGCCCCCTGCTCAGCCTGAGTGCCAGGCTGCGGGCACCGGCTGGACCCTCACTGCCCTTCCCCACTCCTGGTTCCTGGGCTCAGCGCTGCCCGAGCGCCTCCTGGGCTTGAAGACCTTCCTCCATGTGGAAGACTCGCGTGGCCACGTGGGACCGCGGTGAGACCACAGTGAGACCATGGTGAGACGCAGACCCTCCCCCACCCCCCCAAGCAGGAAGTTAGCCCAGCCCTGTGCTTCCCGGCACTGGCTCCCCCCGAATTCCCCACAGCACCTTTCATTCTTGTACGAATCAGCTGCATTGTAGTTTTAAGATGCATTTTCACGTCCCCCCTGACCAGCGGCTCGCTAAACTCGTCCCTGTGTGTTGCGTCTTTGTGGCCCTCGCGGGTCCTGGGAAAGTGCCTGATGCACGGACGGTATAACCCTGAATAAATGACTGTCTGTCCACAGCGTGTCTCTCGGTCTCAGGTCAGTAGTCTGGGGGCACCGGGTCGTGTATGAACAGAGCTGCAATGGACACCCGCCCGTGGAGGCTGGACGTTTTCCTTTCACAACGTCAAAAGCAGAGGCTGCATTTCCCTGTCACTCTTTTGCCGGAACGGCTGCTCAGCCAGCCAGGCAGGGTGGGACGGGGCTGGGGGCTGGTGGGGCGGCTAATGCAGGAGAAGGGAGGTGTGTGTGTGTGTGTGTGTGTGTGTGTGTGTGTGTGTGTGTGTGTGTCTGGACATGGACATGGGAAGAGGACCTAAAGGCCCAGGTGGCCCCCTCGCTGGAGTGATGAAGCATGGCCCATTCGAGGGTTATTTTCATCAAAGTCTCTGGCTCCTTCCTTTCCCTGACGAGCTCCTAAGGACAAGCTGGAAAACAGCTTGACCGTCACAAACGCCGTTGCCGGCAAAGTAGGGTGACCCACGCGCCCCACTGTGCCCGGGACTTTTCTGGTTTTAGCACTGAAGGTTCTGTGCCTTGGAGACCCTCCCCTCAGCCCCTGGCAAACTGGGGTGACTGTCAAAGGCTCCCGGGGAATCTGCTGGAAACATTCCCGGTGGAGGCTCGTAGCCCCCTTCCCGTGCACGCCGTGGAGCCTGGCACAGAGCGCTCCTTGGGCCCTGGCGGGGCCCCTGAAATGAGTGGGCCCCTTAGAGCTTGCCGATGGCAGAGGTGGCCGGCTAGGGCGTCCTCTCCGGGTTTGTCTGGTGTGGAGCCACACAGGAAGTGGCTGTCGGCCCCTCCCTCTCTCTCATGCCCGCCTTCCGCTTCTCTCCTGAGTGGCCCAGGTCCTTCTCCCCTTTCCAGGACCCCTGTGAAGCTGCGTGTTGGGCCATATTCTAAATCAGGGCCGGTCCCCACAGAAGCAGGGAACGGTTCCGCACTTGCAAGGGCCAGCGGCGACCGTTCTTTAGTTCATCCGTCACACATTTCCGCAACACCCGCTCTGAGGCACCGTGCTGGTCTCGGGCCACAAAGGTGAGTGAGGCGTCCACCTTGTGGCGATTCAGCCTCGTGGGGGCTGCAGGGCTGCACCGGACACATGGTCACGCCACATGGACAGTGCCACGAGAGATACACGCCAAAAGATGACGGGAGCACAAAGGGCAGCAGCCCCTTCTGCCCGGGGAGCTGGGCAAGACTTAACAGAGGGAGGGGATAAGTGAGTGGGGTTTTGCGGAATGCGTAGGAGTTGACCGGATGAGGCTGAGGAGGAAAGTAAAGGGTGTCCCACACGAAGAGGATGGCTGATACCACAGTCGTGGGAAGTAGATCGCGTGGCTGCCCTCGGTTGTATCCAACATCGCTTAGTTATCTCAGGGAAGTGGCTTCAGCGGCCTGGTAATGAGCATTCAAGGCGTGTTGGGGCCGACTCACCGTGAAGAAGTCACAGAGCGTTATGTGCGGGAAGATCTCATGAGCTCGGTTCTTCGTGCACTGACGCTTGCTCTCTCTCCAGAACTCTTGAAGTTGTTCCAACAGGGACCCCGTGGGGCAGAGGAACAGGGCATACTCCTGGGGTATGGGATCGTCCAGAGAAGGGTCGTTGCGATGACAACGTAGCCTGTGACAGAGAACGGCGCTGTCACCTGAAGCCAGGACGAAAGGACCCTTCCCCACGGAGGGCAGCAACTCGGAGGAACAGGCCGTGCCGAGCGCCTCCAGCACCCACGCTGCACCCCCAGCCCCTCTCGGGCGGGACTCAGCGGGCCCAGGCCGCGGAGCAGCTCAGGGGCCGCCCGAGTCTCGGACCCGCGTTAATCTGACTCCCAGGCCAGAGACCGAGAAAATGAGAGAAGGTGACGGGAGACCTCAGCACCTCTTCAAGCGATCTTTGGGATCCAGCCACCCCCTTGGTGTTGAGAACAATTTGCAGAAAAACTTCACATTTTAATTGTAGCAGACTTCAAATTGAGTGTAAAAGTTAAAACTACAGAAAAAAAATAGATGAAATTTAGGTGGCTCTTACATATTTTCTTTGCATTCAGAAGCTTATTTTAAGGACAAGGAGACATGACCTACAACCCCAAATTCAAGTTCATTCTCACTAACAACAAAAACAAGAATGGGGACAACCCCAAGGTGCTATTTTGCTCATCTGTCAAACTAACAAAATGTCTTTGAAAGGATAAAAGTTACGCCCAGTGGTGTCAAAGGGGCAGCGAATTTGCGCAAATTTGAGTGTACATGAGCAAATTGCCAGGACGCACCGAGAGCCTTAAAATACCCATTTCATCCGACGATTCTACAATTCCATTAACATTTCTGCTTCCAGAAATTTCTCCAAAGCAGGAAGCAGACGGTATACCTAAAACTGCACGCATATTTTATTGTATGGTTACGGGTCCCGGTTAGGAAACATGAGATAGAGGACGAGGAGTGTATTTACCAGGTATTCATCAGGATCCACAGTTTTGACGACTTTCTAATGACTCAGAGATGTGCCCGGGATGTGAAAGTAAGTTTAGCGGGCAGTGTGCCGCGCCTCGAGGAAACACTAGTTACGCACAGATATAGTCTCCTTAAGGGTAAAAACAAATACCAACAGGGGGCGCTCTGACCCTTTATCCTGACCCCCTTCCCCCTGCACACACGTGTCCTCTATTGTCACTTCGCTTTTTCCTCCTAGAAACCCAAGTAACAAATCCATAGATAACACTCGTGTGTGTTTTGCATAAATCACAAGCTGCTGCTTAAATTATTCTGCAGTTTACATTTTCTCCGTCGACCCCGTTTTTGTGCTTTATCCACACTGGCACGGAGGCATCTGGTTAAGTGGGTCCGAGTGACCCTTTGAAGGGCTGTGGGTGCCCGTCACACTCGCGGGTGATATTTCACTCATCCGTTCCGCTGCTGGACACTTAAACTGGTTTCTCTTTGAAAAATGTCATGGCACTGTAATCAAGATCTTGGCCCGTGTTTTTTTAGGCCCTTTGTGTGTTTCCACGGCATGTACTTGGACGTGGAACCGGGCGGTCGGCTGCGATTGCCACCGGGACCGTGAGAGACCGCGCGTGGACGCTTGAAGCTGCCCTCTGTTTTTAACGGCATCTGAATGTGCGCTCCCCTGATTCGGTAAGGTCGGCCCACTCCTGGTTGAGCCTAGGGGACCCCACTGCCTCCCCGGGCCTCGGTGGGACTCGTGGTCTGGCTGACCTGTTGTAACCAGGGGGAAGGAACCGTGGCCCTTGAAACTGTGGGTTTCATCTGAAATTCAAATTTGGCGACTGACTTTAGAGGTAGCCTCACCCAGAGGCTTCTGGGTGTTTCCCTTTGCCTGGGAGACGGGTTGCATGTTTTGTCCTTGGCCTAGAGGTTCTGGGGGAAGAAGGAGGTCCCCGCTGAGGACACACTGGCCCCTCAGAGGCCCACTGTCCGTATTTGCCATCCTGCTCCGGGGCGGGCACCACAGCTGGGTGAGACCCAGTTTTTAGTGTTTGATTTTCGCTGTGGTTTTCCAGAGCAGCGCGTGAGGGGACTTCCCGCCTCAGGACAGAATGATGGCATCATGGCACATTCAGGCGGGACTGGGGGTTAAGAGGACCTGTGATCCCAGAGCAGAAAGCGGAGGCCCGCGACAGTGGGCGGCCTGCACAGTCGCGTAGCCGGTTTGTGGCAGAACCTCCTGGCACCCTGAGCTCCGCAACCCCCCCCCCCACCACCCGGCCCCCTTAAGGTGCAACGTGCCGATGCCTTAGGCGCCATTCGGGGCCACCAGTAAATTTTCTCCCCATCAGGGGGAGCCTGAGAGAGTGGTGGCCTGTATTTTATGTCGGAAGAAATAGCTCTTCCCTATTTACTCAACAAATCGCGTGGGTTTCTTCCTTCTTTGACAGTCACATGTGGATAAACTCAGATTGTTAAGTGAAGAAAGGCTTGTTCAAAGTTCAATCTCTCTACTTTGTTTTCCTTTCTTTTAATGTGTATTTTTGAGAGAGAGACAGAGAGAGTACACACGTGAGCGAGGGAGTGGGCAGAGGGGGGCAGAGAGAGGGGGCCTGAGGATCCAAAGCGGGCTCTACACTGAGAGCAGAACTCGACAAGGGCTTCGGACTCACGAACCGTGAGATCACGACCTGAGCCGCAGTTGGACGCTTCATCTACTGAGCCACCCAGGTGCCCCTGTTTTCCGTTTGAAATGCGGGCTCTTTATTCCTTTCCCCGGGTGCTGGGTGGGCAGGGTGCCTGCCCAGGGTGTATGGGGCCCTCCCACGCCCACCCCGGGGAGCTCTCGAGGCCCGAGCAGCTCAAGCCAAACACCCTGCACACCCGTGGAGGCAGCCGCACTCACCAGTCTGACGCCTCTTCTGCTGTCTTCCTTCCAGTGGCCGCCAGAGCCTTCAGCCTACAGGAGAGCAGACCGGGAGGAGCATTCAGACCTTGCCTTCCCTTCTTTGGGGGTGGGGGGCACGGGAGAGGCAGGGCTAGCACTGTGGCACATGGGGCCCGGGCTGGGGGCCCCATGAGGGCCTGCACTGCTTAGACTTTGAAGCCGGATGCCCTGACCAGGCCTCCGTGCGGCCTCACCGTGATTTCTGAAAACGTGGACCTGCTCACACCCCCCCGTCTGTTTTCCTTCGGGGGCTCCCACCTCCAGGAAACCTTCCCCGAGCGCCCCCCCCACCCCCAGCCTGCCCACGTAGGGCCACCTGCCTCGTCTATGAGCTTGTGTCTGTTTGCCTCCTCTACCGGCCTGCAGGGTCCCTGAAGCCCAGCCCTGTCCCACTCATCATTATAACCCAGGACGTACAGACACTGGGGTAACTGAACGGGGCCAACTTGGACAGGATGGAAGGAGGCTAAGGTAACTCACTCAGGAATCCAGCCTGGAGACAGCTGGAGTTGATCAGCGGACCCACGTGACGCTGCTCAGAGCTGCTCTTTGGTGAATACCGACAAGGATGACATTGGTTTAAATCACAAGGCATTCTGAGCATGAGTCCAGCTTCGAGAACATCATAAAGGGTGGGCTTTAGAGGTGCCAAGAATAGGGCCCCACCCCTCCACCGCCTGTGTTCTCTGGCCTTTCGGTATCCCTGGCTGCACCCGGGGGAAGGTGCCCGGCGCAGGGCCTGGCACACGGCTCTGCTGCCCATTTCAAAGGCCCCCGGTTTATTATCAACATAAAGCGACCAAGTTCTGGTTTGGATTAGAAAAGAAAAGGGTGGAGTTTGGGGCGCCTGGCTGGCTCCGTTGGTTAAGCGTCCGATTTCGGCTCAGGTCATGATCTTGCAGTCTGTGGGTTCAAGCCCTGCGTCGGGCTCCGTGCTGGCAGCTCGGGGCCTGGAGCCTGCTTCATATTCTGTCTCTCTCACTCTCTCTCTCTCTCTCTCTCTGCCCCTCCCCCGCTCGTGCTCTGTCTCTCAAAAATAAGTAAACATTAAAAAAATGTTTTTAAAATTTTTTTTTTCAACGTTTATTTATTTTTGGGACAGAGAGAGACAGAGCATGAATGGGGGAGGGGCAGAGAGAGAGGGAGACACAGAATCGGAAACAGGCTCCAGGCTCTGAGCCATCAGCCCAGAGCCCGACGCGGGGCTCGAACTCACAGACCGTGAGATCGTGACCTGGCTGAAGTCGGACGCTTAACCGACTGCGCCACCCAGGCGCCCCATTAAAAAAATGTTTTTAAAGAAGAAAAAGAAAAGGGTGAAACTTCAAAGTGATGGCAGCTAGTTTGCTCAGGGCTTTGTTATAACGTTTCAGGAAACCTTGGTCCCCAGTTAAAGGAGTGAATAAGTCTGAAAAATCAGTATCCCATGTGCCAACCATAGCTCATGGCTTCTGGGGACTTTGTCTCTCTCTGACAGGGTGGGTCCTACGATGAACATTTTCTGTACGGGGACCTCCTCCTTGGGTAAGCAGGATCGATCAACACTGTTCCGGTAGTTTCTTAACCACCTCTTTTCACCAGCAGACATTGAAGAGATCTTGCCTACGGGTGACTGGTTCCCCCGCACCACTTAGAAATATTTCCTAGGTGGTGGTGCCCTCCACCGCTCCCTTCGGCCTGGAGTCTGAAATGCCTCCCAGGGTCGTCTCGGTCCCTGAACCACAAAGAGGCTGCCCAAGCCCCTCCAAACCCTGAGAAATGGGGGTGCCCCCGTAACACGCGGCTTCCGACTTTCACAACTTTTAGGGTCCCTCCACCAGCCAGCCAGCACAGTTTGACCGAAGGGCAAAGAGTATGTCATTTATAAAAAGCCGAGAAGGGCTGTATTTTGAGAGCGTATCTCGCTCGGCAAAGCGCACCCCTCGGGCAGGAAGTAAGTGCTCTGAGCTGCCTGCAGTTCTGTGGTGGGGGCAGAAGCGTCAGTGGGCCGGGAACGCACGTCCAGCGGCCAGCAGGACAGTACTCACGCGGTGTGTACCGGGAAGCCCATTCCCAGAAGGGGCTCCAGCAGCAAGGAAGGGCCGCGGACCTTGAGCTTGTTGGAGACCTTGGCGTAGAGCTGAGTCTCCCCGGCTGCCATCTCTTCCTGCCTGTGGACAGAAATGAATAGATAAAGCCAGAGAGAGAGACACACGCAGGCAAGGCTGAGGGTGTGAAGAAAAACCTCAAGCCCGTTTTGATCTCTCTGACAAAAGCTAATATCCTGTTTGCATGAGATGTGGGTTTTCAGAATGCTCTCTGCAGGGTGCTGGGGCGCCATGTCCACCGGCCCTGTTTCCACATGGGGTTCACGTTCCGGAGGTCCAGCCAAGCCCCCGCGCGGGATCAGCCCCTGACTCAGTTCCCCACGGGGGCCACCAGCCATGGGCCCGGGGCGACCCCGAGCCCCCTTGCCTGCAAACGAGACGTTAAACAACACGCCATCTACTGTCCCTGCGGGCTCTGACATTTTTGGTTCTTTTAATTATTCACTGACTCTGTTTTTGATTTTAGAATCTTCTGAAGTTCAATGTGGGTGCAGAGAAGTCGACAGATCCTATGGAGCAGTCAGTGACCTGGCAAGTGAGCACACGTACCAGCTCCCTCCAGGACCAGCAATAAAACGGGGCTCCTCAGCCTGGGGGATTTGGGCTCCACCCCCGGGGACCATTGGCAATGTCTGTAGGCACTTCTGAGGGTCCCAGTGGGAGGCAGGGACGTTTGCTACTGGCATCTGTCACGTCGAGGACAGGAACGGAGCGGGCGCACCCCACAGCAAAGAGGGACCCAGCCCAAAATATCAAGAGCATCAAGGTTGACAACATCTGCTCTGGAACACACCCAGAACTTCAGAGGCACCCCTCCCCCCAGCACCCCTCCCCCCGACTCCTAGTTATTTCCTCCCTCCCCCCCAGAAGGTAACTGCTGTGCTCACGTGTACATTAACTTTGGCCACTTTTGAGTCTTACATAAATAGAGCCGTAGAGCGTATACCCTTTTGTGTGTGATCTCTTTTGCCCCAAAACTATGCGTGTGAAACGTACCCACGCGATTGCTTGTAACTGTACTTCGTTCGCTGCATTGCTGTGTATTTTTCGATCCGATAAATGAAACATAACCTGTTTCTCCACTTCTCTGTTGGTGTATCATTTGGGTGGCTGTCGGGTGTTTTGCTGCAGTGGACATTCTTGTGTATATGCCTTTTAGTGCCTGATTTATGTTATTCATGCTGGGTACACATCTAGGATTGGGGTTTTTAGGTCATAGGATACGTGCGTACTTCATTAGCAACTACGAAGAGGTTTTACCAAATGGTGGTTCCAATTTGCTCTCTTAGCAGCGGGTTAAGGGGCCGGTTCACCAACATCCTTCCACTGTCAGTCTTCTTAGTTGTAGCCAATCTGGGGGTGTGGAGTGGTGTCCCGCTGTGGTTCTAATTTGCATTTCCCCAAATGGCGATGACATTGAGCCCCATGAGACAGGCTCTTGGCCATTTGAATAACCTCTTTGGGGAAGGGCCTACTTAAATCTTCTGCCTTTGAAAAATTGGATTCTTGGGTTCTTCTTACCAATTTGTGGAAACTCTGGAGATAGTAAGTCTTTTTTTGGATGTGCTTAATGGTAACGACTTCTTCCAGGCTGTGGTTTGCCTTTCTAATCTCTTAATGTATTTGTGTGAAACAGAATCTCCTAATTTGAATGAAAAGTAATTTAGCATTTTTTTTAATAGTTAGAACTTTCTGCATCCTATTGAAGACATCATTGCTAACCCAACATTGATGAAGATATTCCCCTGTGTTTTTTTCTTGAAGTTTACTATTTTCCCTGTTTATATTTAGCTGTTTGATCCATTTGAATTCATTCTGTGTATGGTGTGAGGTAGGGGTAAATGTTCATTTATTTCCCTACACCTGTTTTCATTGAAGGACCATCCATTGTCCAGTGAATCACTGGATGTTTCTTATAAATCAGGTGGCTGAATATATATTAATCTGTTTCTTACTCTCTTCCTTGGTTTGTTCATTTTTGTGTTTACACTATACTGGTTTTAATTACTATGGTGTTAACTCCTCTGATTTTGTTTTCTTCAAGATTGCCTTAATTCCTCTAGGCCCATTGTTGTTTCATATAAACTTAAAAATTAGATCACCATAGTGTGCCTTTGGAGACTGCAGAAAGACCCACGTATGTGGTCATTTAATTTTCAACCAAAGGACCAAAGTAATTCAATAAAGGAAAGGATAATATTCTGAACAAATGAGGCTGGACAGCTGCCTATTGATATGGGAAAAATATGAATGTCAATGCCTACTTCACATGATGCACACAACTTAGCTCAAAATGTATGATGGACCTAAATGTAGAAGCTAAAACTACAAAAATTCTAAAAGAACACTTAGGAGAGAACTCTTTGCTATGCTGAGGTTTGCGAAGCTTCATAAAAGAGTCGTAAAAGAAGAAAATCGGTAAGTTGGGTTTCATCAAAATTGAAGACTTCTGGGGTGCTTAGGTGGCTCAGTTGTTTGAGCGACTGACTCTTGGTTTGGCCCAGGTCATGATCTCATGATTTTGTGGGTTCCAGCCCCGCATCGGGCTCTGTACTGACGGAGTAGAGGCAGCTTGGAATTCTCTCTCCGTCTCTCCCTGCCCTCCCCTGCTCATGCTCTCTCTCTGTCTCAAAATAAATAAGAGAACTTTAAAAAAATGGAAAATGTCTGCTCTTTGAAAGACACTATAAAGAAAATTAAAATGTAAGCTTGGGAGAAAATATCACCATATATATCTGAAAAGGGCTTGTATCTGGAATTTATAGAACATAACATAATTGTGCATATGCATATTCTTTTAATTAATACTAAGAAAACAAAAAATCCAACTTAAAATGGGCAAAAGATCTAAATGGGACACTTAACAAAAGAAGGTACATAAATGGCTAATAAGGACGTGAAAAGATATTTAACTTGATTATTCATCAGGGAAATATAAATTAAAACCACATTGTGATACCACAACACATTCACCAGAAGAGCAAAAATTGACAAGATCGACAATGTTAAATTTTGACAATGCTGTGGGATAATTGGAACTTTTATTTATTGTTCAACCATTTGAAAAATATTCTAACAGTTTCTTATACAGTTCAACATACATTTACTATATGACAAATTTACTCTTAACTGTCTACCAAAGAGAAGTGAAAATCTGTAACCGTACAAAGACTTGTATGCAAATGTCCTTGATGGCTGTATTCACAGTGGACTCAAACGAGAAAGAACCCAAATGTCCATCATCTGGTGAATGCATACATAAATTATGGTATATTCAATCAATTATGGTATATTCAAATGATGGTATACTTCAAAATTATGATATATTAAAAAATTTCAATATTTGTAAACTTTATTTCCTCTCCTTGTTATATATATCGTTCTGACAAAGACCTCCAGTGCCATGTTGAATAAAAGGGGCTTTTAGGATAGGTACCTTATATCAGATTAAATGAATTTTTCACTCCTAGTTCACTGAGGTATTTTTAAAAATTTATTAACAGATATTGAATTTTATCAAAGGCTTTTTCTATTGAAATGATTATATTGTTTTCCTTCTTTATTCAGTGAATGAGGTAGCTTGCGACAGTTGACTCCTGAATGTTAAGTCAACCTTGTGTTTCTAAGATATAACCTTGATCGTAATATGTTATCCTTTGTGTATATGGCTGGATTCCATTAGTTAATACTTTGTTCAGAATTTTTTTGCATCAGTGTTTGTGAATTAGCTTGGCCTGTTGTTTTCTTTTCTTATAATTTCCTTCTCCCATGTTGGTGTCAGTAGAGTGATCCGCTCATTCTGATGGCTCTTGAGACTTCCTGGTCACAATACTGAAGGAACCCCCTCAGTCCCAGGCAGACAAGGACACTTGGTCATTCGAGGTGTCAGTGTTATTCTGGCCCCATAAATGAGTTGGGAAATATTTCCTCTTTTCCAATTCTCTGAGTTTTTTTTTTAAAGATGGGGATAACTTCTTTCTTAAAAGTTTGAAAAGATTTATTGGCAAAGTCATCTCGGCCTAGAATTTCCTTGGAAAGTTTTAAATTATGGATTTAATTTATTTAACGGATACAGGAGTATTCTTCTAGTATTGGTTTCATTAAGTTGTTTTTCAAGGAATTCGATAGATAAATTCCTTAGATAAAATGTTATCTAAGTGGTCAAATTTCCTGGCATAGCAGGCCAGGTTTTTAAAAATTCCTTTCGATTTTGTTGCATAATTTTCTGTTTAGAGGTCTTGCAGTATTTATTAGATTATTCTTATGTATTGGATCATTTTTGATGCCACTGTAAATTATCTTTTTATTTATTTTTAAATGTTTTTTATTTATTTTTGAGAAAGACAGAGCATGAGTGGGGGAGGGGGAGAGAGGGAGACACAGAATCTGAAGCAGGCTCCAGGCTCCAAGCCGTCAGCACAGAGCCCGATGCGGGGCTCGAACCCACGAGCTGTGAGATCATGACCTGGGCCAAAGGTGGACGCTCAACCGACTGAGCCACCCAGGTGCCCCTAAATTATCTTTTCAAAATTTCATGTTCATACTCTTTCTTGCTGGTAAATCAAAATATTATTGCTTTCACATTATTTTACATTGAACTTATATGTAATTTTATGTCTGGCTTGACTTCCTTATTAATTCTCATAATCTTTTGAATTTTAAAAATCTTATATGTACAAAAATAGTTGTCTATGAATAATGATATTTTTATTTCTTTCTTACCAGTACATATTCTTCACTTTTAAATTTTCTTTACTTCTCTTTTTTCTTTTCTTTTTTCTCCTCATTTACCTCCTTTTCTCCTCCTCCTCCTCCTCCTCCTCCTCCTCCTCCTCATTCTCTTTCTTCTTCTTCCTCTTTCTTTTCCTTTTCTTTTTCTTCTTTTATTGAACTGGAACGAACTCCAAATGTTGAATAGATATGGTATATATCAATATTGTGCATCTCCCTGCATTCCCCCATTTCGGAGGAAAAGTTTTCAATATTGCACTTGTAAGTTTATAATTATGTTTTAAAATATCTTTTTGCTTTGAGGAATCCAAAAGATAAAACAATTTCATAATTAAATGAATGAAATATCTTAAATTTAAAAGTCTCAAAGTAGACAAAACTTGGTATCCAGAAGAAAAAAAAAGCAGATTTTGGGTCTGGAATATAGCCTCTACTCAAACATATTTTTCTTTTCTTAAGAGTAAACCACTTTTTGAGCAACTGTGCTTACAACATATTAAAATATAAATTTCTCTGGAAAAAATCTTATTTGTGTAAGCCAAGAAATGCCCTCTCAAGCCCAATCCCTTTTTCTTACCTTGAAAATTTACCTTCCAAGACCAACAGTGAAGCGACAAAAGCTTCTTGATTGACAATTTTTCCTGTGCCTTACCCTCAAAGCCACCCTTCTCTCACTAACAGCATCAAGGTGGAGAGTGAGACCATGCCGGGACCTCAAGCTGGGTGCAGATGGTTACAAAAGCTTCACAGCTCATAGAGGACCCTCAGGGTAGGGTGTCCCTTCTCATACCTCCACACCAAACCCAGCAAAACACAGCCTCGGTGAAGGTCAGATGCCAGCCCTGGAGATGCTGATTTCTATTTCCTCTAAATTTGATTTTGAATTTGATGGGATTGATTTACAGGTGAACTTTCTGAGAGGCTGCTATGTGGTCATAGACGTTCAGCCACCATCATGGGTCATCTCCCTCTTATACCTCGGCAAACAGACTTCATCTGAAACACATGCCAAGATGTCAACATGTTAATATAGGAATGATTGCTTATGATTGCTTTTGGTTTTCCACGTGTCTACTCAGTATTATCCCACCACCTAGTTTGTGATCAGCTCATCTGTGTTTGTGGAGCCCCATCACACACTCATCGTTGCGCCGGGCATCACGAGAGTACATTCTAGACTCTGTCCTCCAACAGCTTTGTGCCATGGAGGCACCATCTACAGCAACCCAGGCGAAAACAAAGAAAGAATTAAGTTCTAAGTCTTCCGTCCCTGTCTTTGAGGGCAAATGTTGGTGTAAGGGCTAGAGACAGTAGTTACAAAGATGTAAAGGACGTATGGGTGAGCTTGAAGGATTCCTGGTCTTAAATCAAAAAAGGTTGAGAGGTGTGGGCAGGAAAACAAGACCGAATGAAACCACAATTGGCTGAATATATTTCTTTGGCCTCATTGCCAGTGGAAAATCCTGCCACCGATACCTTTAAAACCAATCCTAAATCCAGCCTTTGCACCACCAGCATCCTGGTCCAAGTCACCGCCATGGTGACCCAGGTTTTCAGTAGCATCCTCCTGGCTTTCTGTGAATCCACCTCTGACTCTATACCTCTTGCACATGCGTAGAACCCGACTTTGCCCTGCTCAGCTCTTTGGTGGTTTTCCATCTCAAAGAAACCAAACCCGAGTCCTTCCATGTCCCAGGCCTTCCACGATCTGCCAATCTCCAAGCACATAGTTTTCTTGGGGTTCTTCAAACATCCCCAGCTCATCTCTCCTGGCCTTTGGAGTTGACGGTCCCATGCTTGGAACCATCTTAGCTCACAAGACTGACTTTGTCCCACCATGGAGGTCTTGACTAAAATACCACTTCTTCCTAGAAGCCTTCCTCCACCACCCTGCCTGATCACTCCCTAAGCCTCTCCCAGCCTCATCTTGTTCTAGCATTTGTCATCACCTGAGACCACAGGTGAGTGCTTTGTCCCCTCTGCCATCTGCTCTGAGTTTAGATGCCAGGCTCATGGCAGATGGCCCGTAAATATTAGGTGAATAAATGAATGCTCGATTCACACCCAGCTCCACTCCACTAGACTTCCAATGGGGCTCAGTCCTCTGCTCACGGCGGCAGGGCTATGTTCTCTCCTGACAAAACATCTTAAAGCTGTATTGTGTTCAGAAACCCTTTGGGACTTAGAGGCCCCCACAGAAGAGAGTGCCAAGTGTCTCTATAGAGTGCTGACTGTGTGAGAACACCCTCAGGTTCCTTCTCTTTTGTCTGTGGAGCGGCTGTGAGTCTAAACTCAGACTCAGTCACAGGGAGGAATAGAAGCCCCCACCAAAGCGCTTTGCCTGCCCCTCTTGGCGCACTTGCTTAGCACAGGGCAGGACCTATCTGTTATTTTATAAAAGGAGTGTCTGTGTTCAGAAGACTCTCTTATGTGAAGTTTCTGAAAAGGTTTGCTTACCTTACTTACTAATTAAAGGCAAGTCACATTTTTCCCCTCCCTGGTCTCTGCACTCATACCACCAATGGCTATTTGATAGCCACAGCCATATTGGGTTACACAGATGCCCGCGATAATGCCATTCGCTGTGACGATTGAGTCGACAAAGCTGGGTGACTTGGTGGAAGGAAGTATTTCCCGATTGGATTACCCTGTTGGCAGCCTGCTTACCATCACGCTTGCTTTTATAATGAAAAAGGAAAATATTTCTGCTTTGGATGATGGCGGCTCCAGAAATGGTGAGTAAAGTGGGGGGGGG